TATTAGAGTAACGACGTAATTACGTAGTTTTCTGATTTGTAATCGTTAGGGTATACTTAAAGGGAATGGGTTTTTTTTCCCAGACAAGATAATTTCTGTTTTTTCTGCTAACCTACTTTGTCTGGTTTTTTCGTGCAATTTTTACGTACACAAATTCTTTGCATATTCTTTTCTTTTCAAACTCTTCTACACATAGTTAGTATCGTTTACCAAATAAATAAAAAAACTCTTTAATAATAATAATAAAATATTTGTGCATACCTGGTTGTTGCGTTGAGCATAAGCTACCAGTTGAGACCAACGTTATACACTAATATTAAACGAATACGTTACTTAAATCATAAACAAAATTTTTTTCTTGGCGATATTCGCTTTGACGTTTTTTACGCAAAAGTAAAAATTACTTGTCCAAGATCAATGTCGGCCATGAACAAGGAGCCAGAGTCTACTGTGTTGAACGATTCGGCAACTCCAGATATAACCCAAACGAGTTTGGAGTCGAACCTTAATCGTTTGTCAGTTGAAGCGTTAAGATTTGTTTGTCGTGGAATGGGCCTGTCGGAAACGGGCCAAAAACAGGAGATCGTGTCCAGGTTATTAAAGGAAAGTCGTAACAGATTGGGCCGAGAGGACTCTGTTGAGGATGCGGGTGTAACCGGAAAGGCAAAGGAAGCTCGGCCGCAGCTTTTGGGAAGCCAGGATGATACACTGTCGGAAGAACTAGAAGCCTTGTGGACAGGTGATAGGGCACAACGCCCAGTTGTGGGAGAAAATTCGCTAGGTGCCTACGGCAAACAAGGCTCAATGGGTCAAGATTTTTCACCGAGTTATGTGTGGGAAAGGAAGCCGCTTAGTTACGGAACAGAATTGGGACCGCTGCTCGTAGATGACATTGAACGAAGGAGTGTTTGGACCAAGCGGGAGTTGACTAAGCAGCGTAACCAGTGTGAATACAATGAGTGGTGTAGGGCAGTAGTGTTAATGGATAAGGCATTAGCCTCGGGCGATGTGAACTACATTCGTATGGCAAGGCAGGTCGCTATGGAAAGGGCCTATGTTGTAAGGGTGGCCGATGAGGATGGTTGGAAGGTTGCTGCGAAAATGGCGAATGTGGATGGGTTGGATCCAATGACGGAGTTGTTCGGGAGTAAACGTGAGAGTGCTAGGTTAGCGGCGCAACGGTTTGTAAGACCCAAAAAACCGAAAATTTCTCACTACGCTCGGATGGATCAGCACCAGCCGCTGACACCGACCTTGCAAATAGGTGGGATCCCTACAGCGCAAACGGCACAGGTGCAGTCGTATGCCAACGGTTTTTCAGCCACAGTACTTGGGTGTACAAAGTCCAGTTGGTGGCTTTGGGCCATTTTCTTCGCAAAACCTGCAAACGAACCCACAGTTTGTGCAAGTGGGAGGGCAAAAAGGTATACCGGGAGTCGTCTCACCACTGCCAACGCAGCCGCAATCTTTTCGTCCGGCCCCCCAGTGGTCCAGAAGGTTCGATAGGAGCAAAGGATATAGGAGTGAAGTAGTTTGCTACGTATGTGAGGGTAAGGGGCATTTTGCGAGTGAATGCAGTTCCAAAAGGCATATCGGGTTGCCCTTTCGTGGAGATAACACCCGACCGAAGGATAGTTGACTACGCTCGGGAGTCTTTAAAGGAAGCATTGGTGGAGTCGGAAGTTCACGTAGCGGGAAGGATCCACAGCCGGGAGTGTGTAAAATATTGGAAGGAGCAAATAAAGCTATCTCAATTGGTCATGTTGTGGTTGGAAAAGGGGATTCCTTTGTTTCCAAGGGGCCTTATGCGTTTGGTGAACAAGCCGGTCCCGGAACCTTATCATTTCACAGAGGAAGGAAGGTATTGGCTAGAGAACGAGTTAAGGAGGTTAGAAAGATCGGGTGCAATAGTAAAAGTATACGAGGGCAAGGTGTGTCCATCAGACCTGTTAGAGGTGAGCCCTGTCTTTCTGGTCCCGAAACAGGGTCCCAAGAAGTTCCGTTTGGTGATCGACCTGAGGAGACTGAATCGAACGTTGCCGCAAAAGTCATTTCGTTTCGAAGGACTAGGAGGACTGTTACGAACGATCGGTCGGGGTTGGTGGGCGATTTCTTTCGACCTCAAGGATGGTTACCACCACGTGTTGATGGACAGCGAAGCCCAGAGATTGTTGGGTTTTGTGGTGGGAATAAATTGGTACCGTTACAGGGTCCTGCATTTTGGTCTGAGCCAAGCCCCGTGGATTTTTTCCAAGCTGATGAGGGCGTTGATCGGCAAGTGGCGTGCTCAAGGGATTTATTGTGGAAGCCACCTGGACGATATTTGGGTTGCTCACCCGGTCAAGGAGGTGTTGTTGAGAATAAGGGAAGAGGTGGTAAAGTCGGATTTGGAAGGTTGTGGTTGGATCCGGGCCGTAGAAAAAGGAAAGTGGGACCCGACGCAAGAGTTATGCTTTTGCGGGATGATTGTGGATACAATAAAAGGAATTGTAGTGGCTCCAGAGGAAAAGATTGTATCGACCACGGAAAGGTTGGAGGCGTTGCTAAGGGCACCAACGGTAACGGCGAGAGACCTGGCAGCGGTGGCGGGCAAAGTTGTAAGTTTGTCAAGGGCTTTTCTCCCGAGTCAGGTGAAATGTATGGAGTTTTACAAGCTCATAGATACGCAAACCGTGGGGCATGGGAATGGGACAACAAGGTTCAATTGTCAACCCAAGTGATAGAGGATGTTCGTTGGCTGGTAAGAAATTTGCGAAAGTGGAACGGACGCCCGGCCTGGAAGCCCTCGCGGATAAAATCGGTCTATGTCGATGCATCAACGACCGGTTGGTGTGGAATTTTTCAAGGATACCAAGCGTCGGGGAATTGGTTGCAACCCCACAAGTCGAATGTCATAGCACAGCTGGAGGCGCTAGTAGTGCTGCGGGTACTGCAGTCATTCGCGGATATGCTGAAGGACTCGTGGATCACGTTGTTCATAGACAACAAAGTGGCACTAAAAACGGTATTGGAAGGGGGCCCGACTCAGTGGCAAAAGGACATCACGAGGCAAATTTGGGAGGTTTGTGTAGCAGGCGATATCGGGATCTTCAGTATAAGTGGGTTAAACCCGGTGGACCTTCTAACGAGGGTAACGGATCTTGGAGACTGGGTACTAAGTTCGGAGGTCATAGACCTGCTGGAGAAAAATTGGGGAAAATTCGACATCGACAGGTTTGCAAGCCATTTGAATGCAAGGACCGAACGATTCAACAGCCTGTATTTTTGCCCGGGAACGGAAGCGGTGGATTGCTTTACGCAGGATTGGGCTGGAGTAAAAAATTATGTGTGCCCGCCGTTCGAACAATTTCACAGGGCATTGTGTCATGCAAGAGAATGCAAGGCGTGGGTGGTCATTATAGTTCCGGTATGGGTGTCAGCCCCTTGGTGGCTGATGATCATGAACTCCCCAAGAAAGGAGATCGATTTACCGGCACCGGGCCAAATTATCCGGGTCCGTCCGGGAATATGGAGCCTTGCAAAAACGGTCAGTGGCGTCTGAGGGCGGTGTTGCTGGATTGGTCAGAGGATTGCTTGATAGGGCGGAGTACTTAATGGACAATTCGATTAGTATTCAATATAAAAAGCGTCTGGAAAAATCACGGTACATCTTTGAGAGTTTTGCCGATTAGGCAGGATTTACGCCATACCCGGCTTCGGGAAAGTTATTGGCGGCTTTCTTGGCATGGTTGGAGGTTTCGGGTAGGGCAATGGAAGTTGCTATGTGTCTATCTGCCGTGGCAAGGGAACACAAAGTAAGGAACCTCTGTGATCTGACGAAGGGAAGCGCAGTTCGGTTAATTGTGGAAGGAATTAAAAGGTCTCAGGCTCTGGTTAAAACGGAGGCTAGGTGGCCAAGGGACCCGTTACCGGTAGCAGTGGTTAAGCGTTACATTATGTATCCACCGCCAGGGATCAGTATGGTAATGTGGGCTCGTGATATAGCCTTGGTCGCTTTAGGTTTGAGGGTTATGCGAAGACCTGG